GGAATCGAACCCAGGGCCTCATGCATGCAAGGCAAGCACTCTACCACTAAGCCACCTTCCCAGCCCCAAACAAACATTTAAAGCTGCTCATAAGTGTTGAGGAAATGTAAGTGTAGCCAACAGTCACCCCCTCCCTAGATTTGCCAGGTATTGTTGGTGGCTGGTGCTGCACAGAGGAAGTCTTACCTCTGACTAAGCATGTTAACTGATCAACCATGGGATTCTACGTAGCTTTCTGCTAAATCCTAAAAATTCTTTCTCTTCTATAAGAAAAGCTACTAGTTATTATGCATACTGCAGCAGCACTGTGAATATTCCATTAATCTTCACAATGATTCTGAGAGGTAGATATTATTAACATCCTTATCTTAATGATGAAGGAACAGATATGGCGAGATTAAGTAACTTCCATGAATCAGGTGGCTGGGATTTTAACTTGACTCTGGCTTCATAATGAGTACTCTTTACACATATGCTGTTCTGCAGTGCAGTATCTTATTGAGGTGCTAGGGATGGAGTACCAACCTTATGCATGCTCATCAAGTACTCTGATCACTGAGCTCTATCCACAGCCTTATAATTCCAGTCCTGATACTTTCCTTATCCTAAACCTTTTGTAGCTTCTACATCTAAGATATAAGTGAAAACTCCTTAGCATATAATCTGAAACTAGGTTTTAATGTACCTCTCTGACCTTTTCTTTTAGAACTTCATATATCTTTCTGTCTAGTTACACTGAGCTACTAAGACCCCTCAAGGCTGCTCAGTGTTTTCTTGGCTCCATATATTTGTTCCGATATAGAAAATTATTTTTTCCTATTTTAGTAATCAAATCCTACCATACTTCAAACCCCAGGGGAAATGGTCTTCCTCTTTAAACTTTTATGGTAACTCATGTGAGAATTGATCCTCCCTCTTTTAACTGTTAAAATAATATATTTTGTGCATCTTACAATACTTCTCATAGATTTGACAGTTTCTAGTACTTGAATATAGGTTTCCCTCCCAAATTCACATGTTGGACCCTAATATCTAGTATGACGCTCAAAATACTGAAGGATAAATATTGATGTGGAAAGTTTTGTAGAAGAATATTAAACATAGAGGCAAATAATTGGAACATGCCATTTAAAATTATATATGTGTACATGTGTGCAAATGTACAGATAACGCTAGTGGAACTATATACAACAGTTATCAGTAGTTTTATATATATATATTATATATAATCTATCTATCTATCTATCTATCTATCTATCTATCTATCTATCTATCTATCTATCTATCTACCTACCTACCTACCTACCTATATCTAGATTCATCACAACCAGGAAAATGTTAAGAGTGAAACAGGAGTGATTAATTTGTCTGGAACAACAGACATAGACTGAACTCAGTTGTGGCAAAAATGAGAGTATATAGTCACATTACTTGTATTGAGAATACACTCACAGTTTAGTTACTTCATTTTACAAGCCTGTGACAATGCCAACCATTGCTTGGAGCAGAAATTAGGAAAGTACCTTGCATCAGACTTTATAATTATGAGAAAGAAGACTAGTGTGACTTTTTGAATATTTTGAAGTGAGGTTTTTAACTATCTCATCCTTTGCAGCTAAGTAAAAGCTAACTTTACCTCAGCATATAGAACTTTAAAGATGGGAGATAAATCATTTCATACAGAGTTTAGGACTTGCTTCTCTATCCCATTTCCTCCAGATACAGACAAACAGGTAGTTTATTGCCTGCTGTCTGTTGGTGTAGCCCTGAATTGAGCTCGACAGGACAGAACAAGATCATGACATCCAAATGAATGTACCCCCCAGGCAAAGGGGGAGAGTTTGGTCTAGGTTGTTTATCTAAGTTTAACACAAGGACCTAAAGCTTTTCTACACGTGTTCTAATGTTCTTTTTGCTAAAGCTATTAGCTTCTCTGGATCTGGCCAACTTGACCTAGCTGCATGTAGTAGGACCCAAGGTTAAGCACCTGAGGATAAATGAGCTGTTGACTTTATAATCCTGGCTAAGGAACTACAGAATTCTACAGAAGAGGAAGACAGACCAACAACATTATCTCAGTAATGAGCCAACTGCACTACAAAGCTATGAGCAGCGACTGTGAATGGATTAAATATTCTTGGACTAGTCTAGTCTAGTTTTCACTTGGACTTGTTTAGACTAATGAATGCCCTGTGATTCTTGGATACTGAGAAAAGTCAGGGACCAGGAAGGCTTGAGGAACAAAAATTTAGGATTCATGTTAATAAAGACAAGTATGATTTCAAACAATGAATGTAAACCTCAAATTTTTCCAAATGATTCATGTAAAGTATAATTAAAAAAAGACAAACCTGGCCAGATGTCAGTGGCTCATGTCTATAATCCTAGCTACTTAGCAGGCTGAGATTTGAGCATTACTATTTGAAGCCAGCCTGGGCAGCAAACTCCATGAAACACTTATCTCCAATTAACCACCAAAAGCTGGAAGTGGAGCTGTGTCCCTTGAGCACAAAAACTCAGGGACAGCACACAGACCTTGAGTTCAAGCACTAGGGCTGACATACACATACACAAAATGACCAGCCACATCTAACCCCTGCAGTCCTTGGTGATGATTGTACTTAATGCAAGCATTGAGGAAACACTAGGGAAGATTCAAAGAAGATGACCAAAAAGTGGAGGGAATTCTGGGCAGGAAAGCAGAGCACAAACTGAGGAGACCTACAGTTCTCCCTACTCACTGGGCTGATGTACATTCCAGTGTGTGTACTGCACAGGCTCAGGCCTCTGCCCTGCGGTCTTCCAGGTGTATTCTCCTGTATCATTTTGGTCTTGGAGAGCTATCCAAAAATAGCTGTCTTTTGTATTCACCACACTACTGATCATACTGGTAATAAAAGCCTGTTCAAACCTAGAAAGCAGAAAAAAAATTATATTAAGTTTCTGGGTGATAAAAATGTCATTAAAACATAATGTAGTGTACTGCATAAGCAATTCTTGTTTAAGTCTTTAGAACATAAAGCAGAAAAACACACAAACCCCTTACATTACTAACAAATGCCAAATAGTGCAATTCCCAGAAATGTGTGAATAAGGAATATTTGGCTCTTTGAGACATAAATTTCATAATTGTTTCAAGAAATAAAGTGGAGCTCTGGTTTCACAGTACAGGTAACGTCCACATGCCCAACAGTATGTTTTTTGCAGTAAAATGTGGCCTGTTTTGTAATTGGCCTTACACCATGCACAATACCATGGTGTACATGGGTTGGGGGCTGGCAGCAGCAGGAGAAAAGATAGCATGCTTTTCTCAATGAGCACTCATCACTCCAGAGTCCAACCAAACCCACACACCATATTTGCTTAGCAAGGAACTAGAGTAGCAATTTTGAGTCTCTTTAATCAGTTTATCCTCATGAGGCATATGAAGCCCTTGGTGATATGTTCAAATATGTGTGCTTTCCAGGTGGATAAATTTAAATCTGAGTTGCCAATCAAAGGTCGTATACCCAGGAACATTTCTCCTCAACACCTGAATGAACTTAGTGTTCATTGATCATTGGTCATGCTCTCTTCCCAACATGCACACTTGGAGAGTAGAATCTAGAAACCTGATGTATATGCTTCCATATGCATATCTAGTAAGAAAAACTGGAGTACTGAAATTGAACTAACACTGAATTTAAAGCTAAGTCTGAAACCATCTTGAGAAATCTCCTTCAGAATGCAATCAAGTTAGTAGACTTTTGAAGCTATGGTGACTTCTGGGCACATCTGCTGAATCAATGAGAAATGTAAGGGCTGATCAAATAGGAGACTAGAGCGAAATTCAAGATCTAAAGATCTAAGGCAAATTAGATCTTTAACTTTTTTTTTTTTGGGATCCAGTTGTGGGGCCTGAACTCTGGGCCTGGGCGCTGTCCCTCAGCTCTTCAGCTCAAGGCTAGCGCTCTACCACTTGAGCCACAACGCCACTTCCGGCTTTTTTCATTTTGCTTATGTGTGCTGAGGAATCGAACCCAGGGCCTCAGGCATGCAAGGCAAACACTCTACCACTGAGCCATCTTCTCAGCCCGCAAATTAGATCTTTAAAATACAACTTCAGATTTCTTTGATTACCATGCATTCCTAACTTGCTAAGGGAAGCAGAAGCAATAGGAATAGTTAAAAATAGAGGAATTTCAAAAGGAATATGGGTGGGAAAGAGAAGAACAAGAGTAAAAATGTAAGTGCCGTGGGGTCATCACTAATAACAGTAACCACAGGTGTCCATGCACTCATCTTTGAGGGCATATGGGTTTCATCACAGGTTAGTAAGTATTTTCTGTACTCTTATCAATAATCCAAAATGGTGTGCACTTGAAATTGGAAAGTTTTAAAAACTGCATTGTTGCATTAGAACCTTACATAAATCTGCTTCAGAATGAAAGCATATAAAGCCAAAGACTGCCTAGATTACTCTTGTAAATTTCCTTAGTTTTTGTTGGCTCATGGTCTCATAACATATGATTTGCTTTATTGATGCTCAATGAAGCAGAGTAGCATGGCTAGTGTCCCCACCTGGAGTCTGAAATTGCAGTGTTGGAGACCAGCTAGGCACTGAACCACAGGTATGACAGACAGGACCATTGTTCACAGTGCTGGTGCTAAACTCAGCAGGCTGGTTCTTCCATTACTTTCTATTATACCGTTTATCTGATTATACAGCGAAATGACCTTGAATGTGAACTTGGCCTTGGGCATCATTATGAATGCAACTGCTTTGTCCTCTCTCGGTTATAGATTTATTTAGTCGTTTCTGATTGTGTATTTTATATCCATTTAAAACAACAGAAACCTGCTTTTTTGAGTTGTTAGTGTATTTTTAACTAGCATGTATCATATTCATACATTAAATTCTGAAACCTTCAAATCAAAACAAACTTCAAATTTTCTTATTCCCATTTACAAAATAGCAAGATTAGTAAATAAATTTGACAAATGGGTATTTATTCTAAATACAGGAAAAAGAATTAAGTCTGGATAATGGATTATGATCTCTTATGCATTTCCAGCTGGCAAAGAAACTAGAGGATATTTTATGCTCTTTACCATTTTCAACCAGTGAAAGATTTATGAAAACTAAAATCTAAAAGATGACCTTGTAAAGGCTTTTCTGAAGAGAGAAGAGGATTAGTTAGGAGAAGAGACAAGATGGTATTGTCATTTTTTAAAGTCTATATTCTGGTACTTTACTTGAACTTGTCCCAATGAGATTGCTTTTATTGTATAATTTTAAAGACGATAACTATTTTTGTGTCAATACTGAGACTTGAACTCAGAGCCTGGGTACATTCTTTTTAGCTTTTCACTCAAGGCTGATATTCTAAAACGTGAGCCACAGTTTTACTTCCAGATTTTAAGAGGTTAATTGAAGGTAAGAGTCTCATGGATTGTCAGGCACAGTGGCTCACACCTGTAATCATAGCTACTCAGGAGGCTGAGATCTGAGGATCACAGTTCAAAGCCAACCCAGAAAGGAAAGTTCATGAGACTCTTATATCCAAATAAACACCAGAAGACTGAAAGTGGAGCTGTTGCTCAAAGTGATAGAGTGCTAGCCTTGAGCAAAAAAGCTCAGGGACAGCATCCAGGCCATGAGTTGAAGCCCTATGAGCAACAAAAAAAAAGTTGCATAGACTTTCCTGCCAGGTTGATTTTGAACTGTGATTCTCAGATCTCAAACTCCTGAGTATCTAGAGTTACTGGCATGAACCACCAACACCTGGCTACTAAAATGTATTTTAAGGTAGAGAGTTGTTTTATACCCCCCAGTTATGATTAATAAATAAATTCAGCAAAGCTACCACCAGATATAAAATCAATATACAAGGATAAATTGCATTTCTCTCTTAAAAATGAAAAATCCAAATTAGGAAATTAATTTCACTCATAATAGCATCAAAAAGAATGAAATATTTAGGAATGAATCAAGGAAAAAGTCTTATACATTAAAAACTTTAAAACATAGATTAAAGACACAAATAGAAAGACATCCAATGTTCCTGGTTTGGAAGCCTATTATTAAGATTCTACATCCAATGCCATCCTTATCAAATTATCAATGAGTCTTGCAGAGATAGAAAAATTAAATTTGAAAATGTGTGGAATTTTCAGGGACCTTGAAGAGTCAAAATAACCCTGAAAAAAGAAAACACAGGGGAAAAACTTCATGACATTGGATTTGGCAATGATTTCTTGGATATGAAATTTAAAACAGGCAATACGTTAACAAATGGATAACTTGGACTTCACCAACATGAACAGTTTTGTTCACCAAAGAACTCTATCAAGAGTGAAAATGTAGCCCTCAAAATTGGAAAAAATATTTGCAAATAATATACCTGATAAGGAATTAAAACACAGAATATATGAAGACCTATGACTCAACAACAGAAAAATGAACATACTCAATTAATGAGAAACAGACTTGAATTGAAATCTTTGTAAAGAATTTATGCAGATGGACAAAAGAGCATGAGAACATTCTGGTCACTAAGGAAAACACAAATCAAAGTCACCATGAGATATCAAGTCATACCCAAGAGGATGGGTTATTAGCAAAATGAAAATTACCAGAAAAATAACAAGCATTGGCAGAATAGAGATGCTGGAACATTTAGCACTTGTGGTAGGAATGTAAAGTGTCACACCTACTAAGGGAAACTATGGCAGTTCATCAGAAAACTCAAAATGGAATCATCATGGCCTAGTAATTTCACTTTTAAGCATATAAGTAAAGAATTAAAAGCAAGGAGTTGAATTGTTCAAAGTGCTATTTTTCAGAATAGTCCACAGTTGGAAAAATGAATAAATAAAACGCAGTATATTTGTACAATGGAATCTCTTTTTCCCTTCTGTTTCTCTCAATGTATCTCGCTGCCTCCTCCTCCTTTTGTTTTCCTCCTCCTTCTTCTCCCCCCCCCTCCATTCTCTCTCATTTGTTGTTGCTGAGATAAGTTCTTGCTCTGTAGTCTAGGGAAGGCTTAAACTCCCAACTCTTCTGCCTCACTTTCCCAAATGTTACTGAGATTACAGGCATGTACCACTATACCTAGTATACAATGGCATTTTTTGCAGTACTGGGGTTTTAACTCAGGGTCTTATAATTGCTAGGCTGGTGTTCAACCATTTGAGCCATACTTCCAGCTCTGTCTTTTGCTAGTTTTTTTTCTTTTTTTCTTTTTTATATATTTTTATTTATTTTTTATTGTGAACATACTGTACAGAGGGGTTACAAATACATGGGCAAGATAATGAGTACATTTCTTATCAAGCATTGCAGCCTCCTCCTTTGTTTATCCTTCACATCCCTTTCCAGCCTCCCCCGCCCCCCCACCCAATCTTCCCCACTCCGCCCCCAAAGTTGTAAAGTTTGTTTCGACATGACAACTTGTACTTCTCATTGTTGCAACGGGTTCACCTGTATCTTTAAACGACTTGTTTTTGCTAGTTTTTTTTTTTAATATCAGTTATTGCAGTTCTTAACTAGCCTTTAAAGGAAAGAAATAGTGACATATGTTAGAATGTGAATAAACTTTGAAGACATGCTAGGTGAAATAAATCAGGAACAGAAAGGAAAATACTTTTTGATTCTACTTATATCTACTCTCTAGTGTGGTCATACTTACAGAACACTAAATAGTATTTGTTAGGAGCTGGGGGAGGGAAGAACTAGGAGTTAGTATCTAATGAGTACAGAGTCTCAGTATGGGAAGAAGAGAAAGCTGTGACACTGCATGGTAATTGTATTCACAGCCATGTGACTGTACTTACCACCACTTTACATTTGAAAATGGCAACAATGCTAAATTTTAGCATATATATATATATATATATATTCTCTGTATATATAACCACAATCAAAAAGTTAACTGCAAAAAATGTTTTTGGATATATGGTTGCATGAAAATGACAAAATTACAAAGAGTTTGAAAACAATCTAAATTTCAGCTTAGCAGAAAATGAGATATGCAGAATTTTTCTTGGCAAAATTCACAGAATCAAATGTCATTTGTGCCAGATTTCCCATATCTGATTATTTCAAGATTTAGATATGTATACATTGAGACAATTATCCATGGCAACTTCGAACATTTCTACATTTCGATTCTGGAAGCAAAGTGGCCAGGCTTGAAAAAGTTTTCTAACAAAAGACCAACCAAGAAAATTATGCTACTTAACAATAAGGGTCTTTTTTTCTTCTCCCCTTGCCTCTCTCCTGCAAAGTGTTAAAAAGTCCTAGACCAGAAGCAGTTGTCTGATAACAAAAGAAATAAGTAATTTGTAGCAGGTGGTTCTAATTGTGCCCATCAAACCTGTCACTCCATTGTGCAGAACAGTGGAAAATCAATTAGCAACTACAAGGCTGGATGCTGGAGAGTGACAGCAGAGTCTTAACTCAAACAGGAAATCAGTAATAGAAGAAAATGATTGCCAAGGCTGTTAATGGATGCTCCTGGGCATGAGGAGACTTTCCATCTACTGCCTGGCCTTCTCAGACAAAAGATACCACTAGAGAACATTCCAACACAAATTGTCACTCAGAAGAGCATTTCTTTCTTGTGGGGGTATGAATGAGTGAAAAATCAAGAGCATGTGGTCCTTCTTTTCCTTGAATGGAATCCTCTGGTTGAGTCACTGCTTTGGGTGCAGTCATAGTTGTGGGGTGGTGTGTCTGGTGCTAACTGATTTGGAGAGATGCCACATTATTGCTCTTATTGAATCCTGCAGGTGTTGTGGTGACTGGGTGCATGCCAGCAGAGAACAGTCCAGGTGGCCCTGGATGGCCTGAGATTACCTATGCCGTAGCTCTGCTTTTGAGTGGGACTATACATGAGTGTGACTAAGCAGAGTTTATAAGGAAAAAGTTCCAAGTGTCTACAACATCATCTAGTCCCCAATTTTGGAGAAATAAAACAGACTTTGTCCCTGATACTACCATTTGTATGCGGCCCCCAAAGCATAGGAAGAAGAGGAAGCATGTGACTTGTAACAGCTCTCTACCTTGTTCTGGGCCATTTGGGCACTATTAGCATGTGTAATGCTACTTAGAGCATGTTTGTGTATCCTGTGTTCTCCCTTGCCTACTTGTTTCATGCTGCTGTTCTATGTCAGCTGGTGTGCCACAGAGGCTCTAGCAATGACACCAAACCTTTTATTTCTTCCATCCAGCATGTCAGTGTTTAATATGGTGCCTCTTGCTAAATACACAATAAATAATGTTCAATAAACTCTTGACTACTAATTTTTGCATGGTCAGATAATATATGCAAAGCAATGAACTCTGTGTCAGATATGTGACAGGCACTCAATGAATATTAAGTGGAGAAAGAAAAGACAGAATGAGACATAAACATAAATGAAATAACAAGACTTCTTTTCTTCAGCATAAAACATAATTAAATCATAATTGAAAAGATCCTAGAATCATTGGAAAGACTCCTGTTATGTCTTGCATGGATTTGTGTCTGGGAGACTTGTAACCTGTGCTCTAGGAAACTTTGAGGTGGCCCAGGAAGCCAAGGGGGATTGAAAACAAATTTACCTATGTCGTAGCTCTGCTTTAGATTCCAATTATACATGAGTTGGATGGTGAGCACAATTATTTTGTGAACCCAAAATTTAAGTGTTCACACCATTCTCTTACATATAGTTTTGTAGAAATGAAACACAGGTTTTGCATACCCATACATATAATGTTTACTGGCAGCTCTACCTGGGAGGGGAAAAAGCAGATCTAAAAACAATGCTGAGATCCACCAAAGGTAGCACTGTACCCCAAAGAAGGCCATGCATGTAGTTCATCAAGTGTTGTCAATCTACTCCTCTGTGCAAGCAAGTACGCACATTCCTATGAAGAGTTTGGAGGAAAGACTGGAAAAGAAGACTGTAAAGTTGGAAGGTGAGAGGAGAAAGGAAATACTTGTGGCTTTGAATGTTGACTTCCAATTGGGGTGAGCCAAGAAAAGATAAAAGAATCCCTCAGCAAAGCAGATATATGTGTGAAGGGTCTCTAGACAAACGTAAATCCCAGTTTCTGCACTTTTAGGTTTTTTCCTCCTCCTCCTGCTTCTCTTCCTTTTCCTCTTTCTCCTCCCTCTCCCTCTTCCTCCCTCTTTCTCCTCCCCCTTTTTCTTTTTTCTTTTTAGTTTTCCCTGCCTCCCTCCCTCCTTCCCTCCCTCTCTCCCTCCCTCTCTTCCTCCCTCTCTCCCTTTCTTCCTTCCTTTTCTTTTTCATATTAGTCTCACTATGTTGCCCAGGCTGATCTTGAATTTGTGCTCAAGTGATCCTCTTGCCTCAGCCTGCCAAGTATCTGAGATTGCCAGTGTAAATCATCACCCATGGCTATTTGGTAAGGCACCTGCCCATTGCCCAGGTGCAAAAGCAAATGACTCATGCAGGTGTGGTTTCCTGTGGTATCAGAAAAGAGTTGCCTCTTGCTTCTGTCCTAGGCATGGAGGAGTCAGCCTCCCAGCCCTCACTGTTCTTGACATTGATAGTTCCACTAGGTTACCTTCCTCAAGCTGTTTTACACACCTGTACCATGCTGCAAATTACATGGATGTAGACTCTCTGTCAGCATTAGGAGACACCTGTGCCCAGAGAAGCCGAATGTATACCTAAGAAGCAATGAAGCATTTACATACCCTTTGCATTTTCTTTATATTTTTTCCTACTAAAAAGCCCACTCTGCAATTAAGTACATTATATCAAAAAGATCCTGTTCAATAGCATATTTTTTCCATTACAAAATTAGAAAATTAAGTCTAAATACAACCACATGCATTAGCAAAGCTGGATAATGAATACATCTTCTTGGAAAGAAAACGTCACCTTAAATTTTACTATTTGTCATTCAAAAATCAATCTGGCAGTAACATTAGAAAATTGAAATTCATCTCAATAAGTACATTAAGTGATTTAATACTCTATCATACACCACACATTAAATTGTGACAAGTTTTTATTATAGCTGCAGTTTTACCATTCTGAGTGACCTCCTGTCATAGAATGGACATGTTTCTGTGAGAAAATGTTGACTTGCCTGTTTGTAATGGTTGTAAGTGCGGGAGGACAGTAATAAGCACTGGAGGCATGCTCAAAGCTTCGGAGGACTGTGTCAATCTTGTAACAAAATCCACCATGTCTTTCCCATCCCTTAAAAAGTGAAATCAAGGGCATAATCAAATATATTAAATACCACGAGATCTTTCTTCGCATATTCTTACTTACATAACTTCCTTCTCTGACTCACTCAAAATGCCTTGAATTTTTGTCTTCTTATCACTGTGTCCTCCATGGCATTGCCAGTAGCTAAAGCCACTTTTATATTTACATAAGTATTTATTATTTAAGTTTCTTCATTTAATAACTTAAACACAAATTAAGATGAAGGTGAAAATACCACAAAACAAAATAGAAAACCCAAGCTGGGCAATGGTGGCTCAAACCTTTAATCTCAGCTAGTTGGAAGGTAGTAGCAGAACCGTATGTACCCATATGTATGAGTCTAAGTTAGCAAAACCTTATCTCAAAAACAAAAATCTTAAAATGTGAAAGGGCTAAGGGTAGGGTTCAAGTTGTAAAGTTGCAAAGCATGTGCAAGAGCCTTGGGTTCAATCCTCACTACCACAAAAAGCAAAACAAAAAATATAAAATTCCCAGACAAGCAAACAAACAAACAAAAAAGAAACTAAAGGGACACACACTCAAGAGGTGGCTCTCTTTCTCTCCTCAGACTTGCAGCATTGCATACAAATGCCCCTTATATTAGGGTAGAAATTAAGAATTGTTGGTGCTGGAGACAGGATGCATGTGTTTGAATTCTGGCTCCTCTGCTATTCTATCAGCTTTATATACTAATACTGTGTGCATTTAAGAACTGTATCGAATTGCTCCACATGTAGTTTTCTCTTCTGTGAAATGGAGATAATGGTAATATTCATAGGTCTGTTGTGACAACCAAAAGGAACCAATGAGCTGGGTACTGCTGACTCATACCTGTAATCCTCACTACTTGGGAAGCTGAAGTTGAGAGGATCGTGGCTAGCTCAAGGCTAGCCTGGTTATCCATGCAGGACTCCTTGTCAACCAATAGCTGGAAATAGTGGTGTTATGCCTTGCATCTCAGCTGAGATTGAGGAGACTGTGGTGGTTCTCAGTCAGGCAGTTAGAAAAGTCTGTGAAACTCCATTGCAATGAAAAGAGTTGGGCATGGTAGTAGTACATGCTTGTTTTCACTGTTATCAGGGGAGCTTCTAAAATCAGTAGATCAGGGTTCAGATGCATTGATAGGTAGGAACTGAGACACTAACTCAAAATATAACCAGCACAAAAGAGGGCTGGAGGTGTTGCTTAGAGGGAGAGCACTTGTTTAGAAGCATAAGGCCTTGAGTTTAAACATTACTATTTTCCCCAGAACAAACACATACACACATCTAAAGAAAACAGAAACAAAAAGGGAGACAAGGAAGGCAGAGATCTTAGAATAGAGCCAGAGAACTGGTATGAGCAAGAAAACATATATTGATAATGTTGTAGATTTTCAACTTCCTTTCATATTGATGTTTCATGTCTTCTAACTGATTCATTCATTAACTAAAGGGTCATCCAGGCCTGGTACCTGATTCTGGTGTAATCCAATCAATTTAGTCACGGTTAGGTGATAACATTTCTAAATAGTGACCAAAATACATATACACATATGCATACATAAATACATACACATGCATATGTATATATACATGTCAACACACACAACACACATACATATTGCTAAATTAGCTGACTGGCTTTTAGAAAGGAAAAAAATTTGGCACATAGACAAAAATGACAAATGTGCAGCTCTGTGGCTTACTCTGGGGGTAAGGTAGAGCAGCTCTGTTCTTGAAACTCATGTGGTACAGGAGACATTCACTATATTTCAACTGAGTTGTTTTAGTTCTTTTTATCCCACCTAATCAAAAAGCATCACTTGTATCAACCTATTTTTTTAAACTTATTCATTAGTTTTATATATTTTTCATTCTGTGACATGTCAATTCCTGCCAGTTTTGTGTAGGCATAGACTGCTTTCTAGAATACTTCTTGAAAAAAGACACAGTTTTTGTGGTTAATTAAGAATGCTTGAATCCAGAAGCACCTGCAGATGAGAGGTGGGTCACAGAGTTTCATCATCCTGCTACCCAAGGACTGCTGGGGTCCCCTCTCCTTTTTCCTGGCCCCGGCCACTCTGTGACTGACGGCTCCAGACAGGCCTCTGAAGGCATCACTGAAGGACAGGGGCAGGGAGGTTAGACCGTTTGTGCTTGGAAGAAGAGGTGAGGGAGATTGACAGTTTGACCTTTCTGACAAAATATTTCTTATTCAGTAGTGATTTTGGAATAATGCACTGCTTAGAAAACAAAAAAGTCCAAGAAGAGAATAATTTGAAGTAAATGAAGGAAAATAGGTGCGGCATGACAGAAACAAAAAAAGACTATGACAGGCCCTTGTCCACATAACCAAAGTGGGGGGATCACTGATTGTACTGGCTAATCTTCTGTACATTAGGCACTGTATTTTTGTTTTTGTTCTTTTGTTTTTGTGGGTTGTGAGGCCTGAACTCTGGGCCCGGAGACTATCCCTCAGCTCTTCAGCTCAAGGTTAGCACCCTAGAGCCACAGCACCATGTCTGGCTTTTTCTGCTTATGTGGGGCTGAGGAATCAAACCCAGGGCCTCATGCAAGGGAAGCTCTCTACCACTGAGCCACCTTCCCAGCCTGGCACTGTTTTATTTTTAAATGAAATGATGATAACACTAAAATGACTGGTCATATTGTCCAATCTCTAAAACACGACTGACAGGGGAACATATCATTTTATTCCGCTTTGCTTTGGAATAATCAAAATTGTTGGTTTGGTTTTGATTTCATTCCTGGTTGGCCTCCATCTCCTTATCTTTCTACCTCAGCCTCTTGAGTGTTGGGATTACAGGGGTGTACCATCATGCCTGGTTTCAAGACTGGTAATATAAATTTACAAGTGCAGGCTGCCTAGAAAGCAGCGTGAAGCAATCAACCATAAGAAAGGAACTTTTGGAAATTATATTTGTAGGCTGGTAAAATAAAATTAATATAAAATTTCCCATAAAACTAGTGAAGTAATTTTAGACTCAGAATCTTTTGATACTGGTAATGCTAGCTAGCAAAGAGCAGCAGTGGAGAGCAACAGTTGCTCTTGCTGTGTAAGAAGTTAATTGCTCTTTCAACCACATAAAAAATGTTGAATTCCCTTGACAGCCACAGTATGGTAGAGATTAGATCAATGATCATCTATAACAAATTCAGGAATTGCAATTCTTAGATCAAATGTCTGGTGACCTGTCAACTATGGAACATATATGGTTCAGTTGGAGTCTGAATTTAGTTCATATATTTATACATCAATTCATAAATAGAACATTTATTTTTGGCAGATATGTATCACTGTTTAGTTGGAATATAGTAACTGAATTAGGAGAGAAAATAATCACAGCAGAGATGCATAAATACCAGGTCCAGGACATTTTTTGAGAATATTATATGTAAATAAAATTTCTAATGAAAGAGAAAAAGAGAAAGGGAAGAAGAAGGAGAATGAGAGAGTACAATGAGAATATTGATGGGGAGATTAGGACCAATATTAAATATATTCAAGAAAGTTAAAGCATAATTTTCTACTTTTTAGATTTAAGCCTAAAGTAGTCTTTTATTTCTTTAAAACACCCAAGATATGTTGTCACTACACTAAAAGTACTTTCACAATGTCTTTCCCAAGTAACAAATATATTATTTTCTCTATTTTTTTCCTATTTTAATATTTAAGTGTAAGAAGGGTGACGAGGAAGCAAGAGGCTGGATAAAAAAAGTTCACATTGGGGGCTGGGAAGGTGGCTCAGTGGTAGAGTGCTCGCCTTGCATGCCTGAGGACCTGGGTTCGATTCCTCAGCACCACATAAGCAAAAAGAAAAAAAAAGCCAGAAGTGGCGCTGTGGCTCAAGTTGTAGAGCTCTAGCCTTGAGATGAAGAGCTGAGGGACAGTGCCCAGGCCGAGTTCAGGCCACACAACCGGAACCCCTCCCCCCCCAAAAAAAAGTTCACATTGTGCCTTCTAGGCCTGTGTTCTTTTTCTGACATCCCACTTGACAACTATGAAAACCATGTGAGATGGAACATCACAGGAGATGCACTGAACAGATAGAATAATAGGATCATTTACATTTTTGTAAACGCAAAGAAAGTAGACTTACGTCAAAAAGCATGACACAGCAAGGATACTTCTGAGGACAAATCCTTCTGGTGTCTGTAGCTGATAACTGACTTGTAAAAACAATACAAAAAAGCAAAACCCCCTCACATTCAAAAGAATGTGGGAAAGAGAAAAGGGAAGGAAGGGGAAAAGAGAGGGAAGAAAGAGCTAAGGGGAGCAGGGTTGATTTATTCTAAATTGATAGTGGATATTAACTCTGTATTTCCTGTACCAAAAAACATTGCAGTGTTAATAGCACTTACCTTTTGACATCCTGATTGAGCATCAGAAAGGACTTGGCCTGCTTTTTTACAAGTGTAGTAAAGTGTTTCTTCACAATTTTTAACTTTCCAGTGTCCTTCCTAATAGGAAAAGTGTTACAAGATGCGTAAGTATTCCCAGTGCTGAGGCAGATGGATAATTGCAATATTTATGATAAAAATGTGATTAATAACATTTTCTTCTGTTGGAATAACACTGCAGTGTCTCTGTGAATGGAGACCTTGCTATGATATGTTCCATCCTTTGCAATCTAGAATTGAGTGGGCAGAAGGAGGAACAACTGATACTTTTTGGTTGCTGCTATGTGTCAGGCTTGATGACGGATGATTGTCATACAGCTCAATATTCCAGTGAGGTGGTGATCATTATCCCCATTTGAAAGGTTATGTTTCACACTCTGCACAAGGCTTTATAGTTAGAATAACATGGAGGTAGTTTTGATAAGGCCAGCTAGTTTTTCATCAAGCTACTCGACTTTTCTTTTAAAAAAAGTGAGACAGAATTTAAAGCCAGTGGCTCACACCTGTAATCTTACCTACTCAGAAGGCTGAGATCTAAGGACCATGATTCAAAGCCAGTCCAGGCAGGCTCTTATCTCTAATTAACTACCAAAAAAGCAGGAAGTGGTAGAGTGCTAGCTTTGAGCACAAAAGCTAAGGGACAGGGCCCACACCCTCAATTCAAGCAAGCCCCAGGACACACTCTCTCTCTCTCTCTCTCTCTCATACACACACACACACACACACACACACACACACACACACACACGATGGGATAAAGGAGTGGTTTTTAGTCATTAGTGGTCAGTAAATCACTGGGAGGAGCCCCAAACCTCTGATGACTCTCCTCTCTGATCTGAACGATTCATAGATCTGTTTGGACTTAGCAGTTGCCACTTGCAACTAAGTTTTGGGTGCTATTGGAGCTCCGGGCCTGGGGGCCATGCTTTGAAAGTCACTTGGATGAAGTCATCCTGATACACTCATAGTGTTTTTCCCCTTCATTCACCTGTAGGCATTAAATCAATGGTTTTGCTGCATTTATGTATAATCCTAATGAAAAACTTGAGTGTTCCCATGGGAATCCTAGACAACATTCTCACAATTGAAAATGCAGTGTCCATTTTCACCACCAAGTTTTCAGATACCACCCATCTTCTTATTCATTTAGTTATTGAAATAGAGAGTCTCCCTATGTAGCCCAGGCTGAGCTGAAACTAGAGGTCCTCCTGCCTCAGCCTCCCAAGACCTTGCATTACATGCATTCATCGCCATGCCCAGCTCTTAGCTTCCTCTTTATACCAAAGTTAGATACCTTCAGGTCTTCTCCTAGGCTGCCAAAAGCTATTCCTGAAAGCTTCACTACTAATGATACGATAAACACTAACAGATTAAATTTTTATTTTCACAGATGAGCTTTTAATTTTAATCCAAATCAGACCTTGAGGATTAAAATTTCTGGTGATATTTCATGCACTGTGGTTGAAGGGAATATGGAGCCATGACCTTCAGAAACAGGGATTAACACCTCCATCTGCAAAAGCAGTGCTGTGCCTCTCCCCCATGGAACCTTCCACAAACCATCCACTTACAGGATAGTGTCAGGCATTGGCATTGCTATTGCACATAGGTGTTGAGAGGATAGGTGACCAACTTCTAGGCTCTCACAGTTAAATTTAGGTATTAGCTATGATTATGTAACTTATTCATTATAGTAATTATAGCCATGTTGAGTTCTTGATGGAAATAAATACTCACTTTTACATATCTACTTTTTATGACAATACTAAACTGCAACAAGGGAGCTACAAAATGTCACCGCAGCCCTGTCCTGACCCATCTAATAATATGAATATATGTCCTGGTCCTCTTGAATACAATTTCTACCTAAATGATGGGTGCTATGTGTAAGTCTGATAAGTAAAATAGTAATATCAGGCAATAGGAAATGAAGGTCATCTTAATTATATCAAAACCAATGAATGAATAGGCCATCAAGTGCTGTAGAATAAACTGTGGTGGACAGATATTAGAGAGGCCATTGTTTCTTGATCCTCAAGTACCACTAAGAAGTCCTGTGGTATTACTGTCACTGCATATGCTCCTCAAAAGCCTCAAAGACACAACAGGCAGGCATGCCACAAAAGTAAGTATTTAGCCAGGTGCTGGTGGCTCATGCCTGTAATCCTAGCTACTCAGGAGGCTGAGATTTGAGGATTGTAATTTGAAGTCAGATTATGCAAAATAGTCCATAAGGCTCTTATCTCCAATTAATCACAGAAAAAGCCAAAGTAGTGCTGTAGCTCAAGTGGTAGAGTGCTTACCTTGAGCAAAAGGAACTCAGGAACAGCACCCAGTTACAGAATTCAAGCCCCAGGACTGGCACCACCACCCCCCTTAAAAAATGGTATAAGTGGAGCTGTGGCTTAAGTGGTAGAGAGCTAGCACCCAAGTCCCAGGACTAGCAAACACACACACACACACACACACACACACACACACACACACACACACACACACACAATGAAAGCCTAGAAGTGTGGTTTAAGCAGTAGAATGCTTGTCTACCAGGAAACACCAGTACTATCTACCAAAATGGTAGTTTCTCAAATCAAAAATCTACCTCTCTTTCCTCCATATTTAATTTAGCAACAAGTCCTCTAAAATACCTTTGTTTCCTAAAACATCCTTGAATATGTTAATTTCTCTTTGCAGTCACTATCCTATCAACCCTGGAGTAACCTCCAAAATGGGCTTTCTGCTTTAATTTTCTCTATCTCCAGTGCATTTTTTTTTGTCAGTCGTGGGGCTTGAACTCAGGGCCTGGACACTGTCCCTGAGCTTCTTTTGCTCAAGGCTAGCACTCTACCACTTGAGCCACAGCACCCTTTCTGGGTTTTTCTGTTTATGTAGTACTGAGGAATTGAACCCAGGGCTTCATACATGCTAGGCAAGCACTCTACCACTGAGCCACATTCCCAGGCCCTCCAAGGTATTCTTTAGCAAGCACAATTGTTTTTAAAAGATATAAGTCAGATCATGCCCTCTGTGTCCTTGAAACACTCCCATGGTTTCTATACTTTTTCCTCTAATCCTGGCATTTTGTCCTTTTCTTGCTGCTTCTCTTACCACCTCCAGCCTTGGTCACTGTTTAGGTCAGGCTTATTTTGGGCCTTTGTACTTGCTGCCTCTGTCTGGAATGTCTTAACTCCTTGTTTTGTAATAGACTTTTTCCATGTGTTCGAATTCTTGGCATACAGTCCCCTCTTCAGAGCGGCCTTCTGTGACTGTCCTGTCCTGTTTGAGGTAGCTGCCCCAACCCATTACTTACCTCATGTCACCTATTTCCCCAAAGCAACAATCCTCAGAGCAATAATCACAGCTACAATTATTATGTGCTTTCTATGACCACATGTTTACTGCTTAGCATAGAATGCCAATGAGATACAAAGACCGTGTCTCTTGGTTTTGCCATGGCCCCAGGGCCTGGCATAGATAACTTTCAATATCAGTTCAGCAAAATTGAACATTGGGCAAATGAGTTAACTTACAGACTGCTCTGCTGAGACACATAGCTGCCTCCTATTTGGGAAGATTTGGGGCTCAAGTGTGTGCCAGTTAGTGAAGGTGACAGAGGAGCTATTAGACCATTCAAACGAAACTGGAATTTTATTGCTGCTCAAACCAATCCATGTTTCTGATGCATTTTCTGAAAGAGAGAAGTGTTCATTACATACAAGATCCTAATATTGGCAAAGATGATAATTTAGTGGAGTTATTACCAAAATATACCACTTTTCATGTGATTTCTTCTTTTTATTTCTTTTTATGATTAAAAACATGCTGAAATCTCAGCATAGAATGCCTATATAAACTTTTTCCCTCCTATAATATTCAGATTTTCTTGATATAGATCTTGTTAGTAAGGCACAAGGGATGTAAAAGCAAACCCAAGGACAAAGCTGTAGAACTTGCTTGGTGTTTCCTGGACTCTAGCTCCTACTACTGTTTGCAAAGGGATCTGAAAAGTCTGCTTTCTTTCTTTCAATCTGTTTTTTTTAAGAGCTAATTGTATCTTTTATTTACTTCTCTGTCTTTCCTGTAAAACACTCAAGGAATAACATTAAAATAATTTTGAAGACAACTGTCATTTCCTTAGAAAATATTAAACTTTTTGCCTTTGGTTTATAAATTAGGAAAAAAAATAAAGTTAAGTGTAATACTAATCCAACTATTATAAGAAAAACTTAACATAGATATACTATATTACCTTAACATTGTTCAAGCAAATTACATATCAACAAACTTTTTGATATGTTAAACAAATTACATATCAAAACTTTCAACTTAAAAATTATATAGAAGTAAATTATACTGCTTAGAGAAAAGAATAGGAAAATTGATTATGAAAGGGCACATTAAAAATGAACTCAAACTTTTAGTAATAGCTTTAAGGTATTTCTTCCAATGACAAAAAGGAATAGAAGCCCTGAAAGGCACTTAATCAGAAAAATAACAAAAGCTTGACATTGTTGGTGGGGTAAATAGATACTGGGTTTTCAAAGACCTTGACAAAGGCGTTCAAGCCTCCTTGTGGGCATAGAGGTGAAGGCAGGATTGTTTTAATCACAAAAGCAAAGGATTGGGAAAAATGACAGAGGAGGATTTCTGTTTTCACTCCTCACATTGGAAAGGTCATCAAAGAGGAGTCTAGGTTTCTTTTCCTTCTTAAACAATGATAAATGAAGTCAATGATTGCAGTGTTTTTCAGAAGTGTTCCACATCAAATTTATGACAGGAGGAAGAAGAAAACTTGCTTCAGTGACTGATGGTGGTGGAGGCATGGAAGCTTGGACCCCTGAACACAACTCAGCCTGAAAACCCCACTCCAGATCAATCATCCCTTCTCACAGTTACTTATTATTTACCTGAGAAATTCCTTTTATGTGGCCGTAGCAAATTATCTATCTAATGGCCATAAACCTAAATTACAAGTTTTTGTTTTGTATTGTATGTTTCACAAAATGACTTTTACCACTTAAAAAAAATCTAGTAAGCACATGTTCAGATTTTTTACAAAGTTTATGAAGATGTATTTTGTAAAAACAAAACAAAACAAAACCAAAAAACAGTGAAGCCAGGCAGTAGTGGCTCATGTCTACAATACTAGCTTCCCAGGAGGCATAGATCTGAAAGATCTCAGTTCAAAGCCAGCCAAGGCATGTGAGATTTCTCTCCAGTTATCCAGCAGAAAACCAGAAGTGGTTCTGTGGCTCAAAGTGATAGAGCACTAGTGTTGAATGCAAAAGAACTCAGGGATAGTACTCAGACACTAAGTTCAAGCCCCACAACTAACAACAACAATTTTTTGACTTTGCATTCCTGAGTAGCATTTAGAAACTTTTAAATATATGTGCCACAAACAATAAAATTTTAAAAAGTATCTTACATTTCTTTTCAACTCCACACTATAAAGTTGTTACTAGATCAGATTTAAGTCACGGGCAGTTGATACTTACCAGCTCCAAGGAGGTTTATGAGAAACTCCACCTCTGCTAATGAAGCTATATCTATTAATGTACTGTTAGCAGATTGACAAGAGTGCAAAGCTTCATTCCAAGTCTTTTTTTGTTTCTGAAGTTTGTAGCATTTGCCATGGTAGGGATTCCAGCCAGGTACACAGTGGGTGGCATAATACTTCCAAGCATCTTTTTCTGTTTCATTAAAGAAGAAATTTGTGCCGTATTCTACAACTGTTTTATTATTCTTTACTACCCATTTATATAAATTGCCAGCAATATGATTCCTTTTAAAAAGTAAAACTGCCCAAATTATGAAATGACAAATAAATTATATCTAAAAGCAAGAATGATTTCATGTCTGATCTAATGTAGATGTGGGCTCTAATGAGCCTCAACACTTCATTTTCTATTTGAGAAATCTAATACATGAAGAAGTAAATGGTGTCATACAATGCAAGTGGAGAGTCAGAAAACACTTAAAATTTAATAGATATTTCAATAGATATTAAAATATATTTACTTTTATATTTTTGTATGCAAGCATCTATATATTTTTATGTTTTTATATTTCAATATATTGTATTTCTATGTATTGGTTTCCATTTATACTATAGAAATAAATATTTAATAGCTAAACATTTAATAGACACTAAAGATTTAATAAGAGATTTAAATAGATTAAAAAATTTAGTAAATATTTTTGATCAGTCATTTGGTGGTGCATGTCTATGATCTCAGTAATGATAGGAAGCCTAAAACAGTTGAATCAAGGCTTAGGTGGGATACAAGAAAATAAACTGTCATTCAAAGTGACAAGGAGATACACACACAGAAGGATTTCAGGCCAACCTGGTCTAGAAATACAGTGAAGACTCCATCTCGAAAGTGAGTCAAAAAGGGACTGAGTGTATGGTTCAAGTAGGATAGCACTTGCTTAGCAAGCAAGGATTCCTGAATTCAATTCCCAATATTGCCAAAACAACAACCAGAATGATGAAACTCACTTGTGAGATTACATAAACAAACCCAAAATGCTGTATCTACTATTGTAAACATAGTATGTTAATAATTCATATCTTTAGTATGAAGACTAAAAAAATCAAAATAATAATGTCTAAATATGTTGAGACAGGCAACAAAGATGTAAAATAGATTGATATTTATTAAAAAAATTTAAATGTGGAAAAAGAAAGGTATAATATTCTGATAGTATAGTTTCTCTTTTTTTGTATTCTTATTTTTTTTGGGGGGGGGGAGTCCGGTAGTGGGCCTGAACTCTGGGCCTGGGTGCTGTCCCTCAGCTCTTCAGCTCAAGGCTAGTGCTCTAACACTTGAGCCACAGTGCCACTTCCGGCTTTTTTTTCTTTTTGCTTATGTGGTGCTGAGGAATTGAACCCAGGGCCTCATGCATTCAAGGCAAGCGCTCTACCACTGAGCCACTTTCCCAGCCCCTTGTATTCTTATTTTATCATGCTATTACTATTACTTCACAATAGCTTGTTATAAACAAACGATGCTTTCTGTAAACCTCATGTCAACGACAAAGCAAAAATCCATTATGGACAAACCAGGAGCAAATACAAGTAATCAAAACATACAATTAGAGTAAATCACTTAATCATAAAGGGAGGCAGAACAGAAATGCAACAAAATTGGAAGTTAAGTTGCAAAATGTCTATAGTAAGACCTTCCTTTTCAGAAATTACCTTGGATATAAATGGAGTAAATTCTCCAATTAAAAGACAGAATGACTAGATGTAAAATTTTAAAAAAATTAACTTTTTTTTTTACAACGAACTCACTTCACATCTAAGGCCCCATATATACTGAAAATAAAGAGATAAAAATACATATTTCATGCAAAGGAGATCTTAAAGAGCAAGAGTAGCCATGCCTATATCAGAGAAAATATACTTTTAAAAAAAACAGTAAAAAGAGACAAGAAAAGTCATTACATAATGATAAAGGGATAATTCAGCAAAAGGAAATAATTGCAAATATGCACCCAATATCAGAGTACTCAAATATATAAGGCAAATGTTAGTGGACTTGATGGAAGAGATAAACTCCAATACAATAGTATATCAGAAGTATAACACTTTCAGTAATGGACAGTAAATTAATAAAGAAACAGCAGAGATAAATTGTACCCTAGAACAAATGGCCCTGCTGATTGCACATTTTCCTCATTGCAATAGAACATTCTGCAGAATAGATCAAATGTTAGGCCACAAAGCAAGTCTCAACAGATTTTTAAAACCTGAAACCATATCAAATATCTTTTCTGGACACAATGAGATTAAATTAAAAAGTAGTAACAAGAAAAATTTTGGTTATAAGATAAACACATGGAGATTAAATATCTTACTTCTGAATACCTTATGAATCAAGAAAGAAATAAATTTAAAATTTCTTGAAATAAATGAAAATGGAACTAAAACATGCTAAAACCTAAGTGCCCAAGCAAAAGCATCACTAAGAAAGACATTACTAGCCCACATCCATGCCCACATTCAAAAATTGAAAAGATTTTAAGAAATAAGATGTTGCTGTGAAATATCCCTTCATTTCAAGGATGCTCAATAAGAACAAGAACAAATCAAACCCCAAATTCAAAGAAGGAAATCAGAGTAGAATTGAATGGAATGGAGGTTTAAAATTTGCAAAAAATAAATGAAATAAAAATTAATTCTTTAAAAATAAAAAAAATGGGGCTGGGAAGGTTGCTCATTGGTAGAGTGCTTGCCTTGCATGCATGAGGCCCTGGGTTCAATCCCTCAGCTCCACATAAGCAGAAAAAGCTGGAAGTGGCACTGTGGCTCAAGTGGTAGAGCACTAGCCTTGAGCTGAAGAGCTGAAGGACAGCGCCCAGGCCCAGAGTTCAGGCCCTACGACTGATAATAAAATAAAATAAAATAGAATAAAATGGACAAACCTTTATTAGAATAAAAAAAATCAAATAAGTAAAATCAGAAGGATATATTACTACTGATATCACAGAAATACAAAAAATGATTAGACATTATATACACAGCTTTATGCTACAAATTTGATGTTAGAAGACATGAATAAATTCATAGATTTTCTGACTTCATACATTTTTACCAAGACTGTATCTTGAAGCAATAGAAACCTTGAACAGAACAATAACTTAGGAGATTCAACCAGTAATAATAAAAAAAAGCCTACCAAAGAAAAGCCCAGGATCAGATGGTTTCGCTGCTAAATTCTACCAACATTTACAGAACTAGACCAATTTTCTTTGCTAATCTAAAAAGTAGACAAATAAGGAATTCATCTAAACACGTTCATTCTACAAGGCCACCATTACCCTGATCCTAAAACCAGATAAAGGATATTGCACAAAAATAAAATTATAGGGCTAGTGTTCTTGATGGCTGTGAAAATTCTCAACAGAATACTAGGAAATCAAATCTAATAGCACATTTAAAGGATCATTCACTATGATCAAATGAGGTTCAATATATGCAAATCAAGAAGCATGATATGCTGCATTAACATAATGGAGAAAAAACATATGAACATCTTAATGGGTACAGGAAAGCATTTGATAAAATTCAACCTGATTAAAAATGGTTACTAAATTAGGAATAGATGAAAGTGGGAGGCTATGGTGTGCACAGTAAAGTGACTACAGATGACAGTGATGAACTGTATGTTTTAAGAAGCTAGAAAAAAGAATTTTCTAAGTTTTTACTATATGTCTGAAGAGAAATACATTTAAATGGATTTAAACATTGTATAATATATACATATATCAAAACATTATGTTACCATTACCCATTAATATGTACATTTTTTATGTATTAGTTTGTAAATGATATTTTTGTAAAAGACCCTTGGGATCCCAGAAACACAGTTTGAAGATATGGAGTAGATCATCCAAAGAACTTATTGAACTCAAAGCAGCAGCAAGTAATGCACTCCAGCTTCATGCATCTGCTCCAAAATTGAAAAGATAAATAAAGCAGAAGGCAAGAAAAGTCAAAGAAAATAATGGATGAAGAAAGGTTGAAGAAGAAAGAGACAGAGGAAAAAGAACAAATGGCAGTCACTAATGTAGCAAATTCTTAAAATTCTGGAAAAGCCTCTACATTAAAAAGAAAAGGAGAAGAAAAGAGAGGACAAGATGCTCCTTTATACTGTAACCCTAACATCATTCTACAATAAATTCTAGCTTGAGCTATTTAAAGGAAAATGGCAATTAAAACCCAATTCGACGGGACAATTATTCCAAAAATGAGACTTCAGCTTATTTTAATTTGAAGTTGTTTCTAATTATTCTTGTAGTGATCTTCTAGCAATTGCTATGCTTTTATCTCTACTTTTGAATCAAGACTTTAATTCCCACTGAAACTTGAGGTAACAGAACTTAAAAACATAAATAATTGGACTTCAGACATTGGATTATAATTAGGTATTATTTAAGTCTTAATTACAACCCACATTTTGTATTTTATTTTAGTTGGGAGAGTGTTAATATAAATTATGGAATGTAGTAGAAAATTGACAAAGAATGGCACAAAGCTACAAGCAGATAGGAGAAATAGGTTCTATTTTATTTCACAGAGGCTAATTGTAGTTACAAAGAATTCATTGTATATTTCAGTATAGCTACAAGAAAGGATTTTGCTTGTTCTTGCCACAAAGAATGATAAATTTTCGAAGTAATGTATAAGCTAATCATGTTGATTTGATGATTAACAATACATATATGTATCAAAATACATTTTTCTAATAAATCATATAATTATTATGTGTCAATTTTTAAAAGTTAACACAAATTGATGAAGCAAATAATTTTATAAAATTATTTTCAACTTCTAGAAAAAACAAGAATAAAACTGAAAATTAGAGTAGCATTGGGAACATATCTTGCTTTTATAAATGTAGGATAATAATCAATGAAAATATTTAAAAAGAAAGAAAAATATGTTTCTTATACTCAGCTGATTTTCTTTTAGTTGTTAGCTTCATGTTGCCTTCAGAATTACAGGTATTACCTAGTCACATATTTTTATTCAGATAAATGGAAACCACTTCTAGCTTTACTTAAATCACGAAATTATTAGCAAACTAGTCAGAAAAGAAATAAACAAAACATAAGAACAACTTAACATAGAAACACTTACCAATAATAGTGTGTTCAGTATGGTTTAGATATTTTTTACATATATAAGGCATGGCAGACTCACAATTCCTTCTCCTCCAGGCAGGTTGCATAAATGAATTAAATGTTCCACAGTGATATTCAACAAATGGCTCATTTATCCCTAAAAGTAAAATGTGTGTTTAATGTGAGTTTAATACACATCAACGAGTAGTATCAGCATCAGGGGAACAGAGAGGGAATCTTTGGAAGATATCATTTTATGCCTATGATTTTGCCATTCAAGTTTAAGCATAACAACAAAATGTTTTCCCAAAGATCATATAACAGCCATTTCTGTGGTTTTAAAGTAGTGGAATATTTTGCAATGTTTACAACAGCAGACTACTGTGGCTCTGACCCCAGCTCTCCAGCAACTTTGGCTAAGTAGCTTTCCTTCTTGGCTCCCACGTTCTTGTTTGGGAAAGCTTGCCTTACAGGAATTTAGTCAAACTAAAACAATATTTACAACTCATTTTCAGAATTCATGTCTTAGGTCTATACAGGAAATGCTGCCGGTCAAGACTACAGATGGGACCACATGCTGAGGGCAAGGAAAACCTTTGCTACCAGTATCTGAGCTCCAGTTCAGATAGCTGAGTGCTGTTCCGTCCGACCACTGCCAGCCAGCATTAACGTCCAGCTGATTCAAACCTATCCACACTTCCACGGCTTCATTACTCAGGTGCTCTGAAAAGAAAATTGCGGGTTTTAAACAAACGGCTCAATGCACTACTTTCTTCGTATCTTCCTATTCCTGGGTCATAGAGTCATCAGTTCATTCCAGGATGTGATAGGAAATGAAGGTGCTATTGTATCCCACCCAGATAGATACCTCCTAATGTTAAAGCAAGGCTTTGCCATCTACAGAAACACAGCAATGTCCTAAATGCTCACTGACACTACTTTTCAGTTATGAAGTACTTCATCCAAGCATCCAGAAATGTCACCTTTGGATGGTCTTCAGTCTATTCAAAGGTGAGCTGTTCTGACTTGGAAGCCCTCTCCTTCCTGTGCTCATGCTCAAGCACGACAAAGTTAGAAAGTGGAGGAAGAAGTGCCCAGGGCCACTCCCAGAAAATGAACAGGGGCAAGTCTTCACATTTAAGAAGGAATACAGAAGCATAACGGGACAGGGCTATATATTGTGAGAGCTGTCAGTTGTCTGGTCAAGAGCAGCAACACCCATGGACCAGAATTGTGGAAGGAGGTCTGGAAGGAGGTGACTGAGGCCTTGGCAGTGCAAAGTTGAGGCGGCTGTCACGCTATAGGTGGGCGAAGGTTTAGGATTACTTGATCCTAACCATTGTACCACAGTAACTCATGGTTTCATATCATCGATTTTTTTTTTTGGGAGAGACACTATAAATAATCATGAATAGATTTACACAGAAAGATAAGCCTATCAAAATTGTAGAATGATGGAAAATTTTTCTTTGTTATTTTATTTTTTGGACCTGAATTCAATTTTTTTCTAGTCTAAACATGTATTAGTTGTGTAATGAAATTTGGAAACAAAGAACTAGCGTCAGAGAGCTTTCTTGAAAATGGCTAATTATGTAATACTCTCAAATGTTGCCATTTAGTTGTTTATTTATAAAAGACAGCATTGTTTCCTTATGACCCATCTACTCAGAATTCCATTTGTTTTGGGTCAGATTCAGGAGCCCAGTTGAGATGGAGAAAGCCTAATAGATAGGGATTATGAGTTGGCTGTATGTTCCAGCTTTCCTAGGAAATGTGCATTTTATGCTGATAGTTCCAAAACCATTATTAATTGCAGCCTGTTTTACTCTGAAAAGAGCAATACTGAGGTCAGTGCAGTCACATGGCAGATTTGCAGTACCCAGAGATTGGATATTTCAGCTCAATAGAGGAAACTGGAAGAACCAAATCAGTAGTCAGGAATCACTAAGCCAAAGCAGCATATTGCAAGTAGACTCCATTTCAGTGTCTAAGACATGAGCATGTCCATTTGAAAACTTTTCAATTTTGTTCCAATCATTTAACAGGTGTTAGGGTCACAAAAAGGGGGACTGGAAGATGCATTGACAAGACACAGAAATTTCCACATTTTATATTCAGGTAAGTGCCAAATGATATTTTAAAGTAACTATTAAAATATTACTCTCTAATTTATTCTGAGTACCTATTGTGCAGTTGATTTATTAGTATACATAAAATCATTGCATAGTTTATAGTATGTTTACAGATGCCAAAAATCTCAGTCAATTTACATTTAGAATTAAAATGGCCTACAATGCTATAGGAAAAATGCAAATATAAATTCCTTTGGCTATTTCTTGGCATTCCCAATAACTTAGATTATTCCATATTCAATGCTCAGTAGCAAGAAATGTTAGACTCTTTATATCATTAAAATATATTTTGGTTATAGCAGGTTTTCATCTTTATGAATAAACTTCTGTTTTCCTAAATAATCCCCAAAGTCTAATTATATAATTGAGGTAATTAAATCAAGGTCTTTGACATACAATAATTTTTGTAATTGTCATTTAGGTTGAATAAATAGGTTCAAATACTCTCGAGATATTCTGCCCATTAAGATAGACAACAATTGTAATTCACAGATGATATTCAATGTTTTACATAGAAATCATTATGGGTTAGTAACGATTTGAGAAATTGGTGTCATCCTCCAATATAACTCTCTCAAATTGATTTCAGTTGTAATTCCCCACTTGTGCATGGCTTTGTGTGCGGCTGTGGGGGAAGGGAAGGCACACATTGTTCATCCATTTATTGTAATCCTTCTAAAACCAGCTACTGACTTTCACAAGCTTTAAAATATGTGTGCCTCCAAAGCAAACTTGTCTAAATTCAGAAACATTGAAGTTATACCTTGCATCCTCTCTGACCACAAGGGAATAAAATTAGAACTCAATACCAAAAGCCACCAAAGAAAGTCCGGCACCACATGGAGGCTGAACAACACACTGCTGAATCATGAGTGGGTCATGGAAGAGATTAGAAAGGAAATCCAAATGTTCATGCTATTCA